TTGCTATTCAGAGGCCTTAGAAAATAATATCCAGACATCCACTAGATGTCACTTGATGTTTGCTTTTTTGGTGAAGGTAGCATTTTTCTTTTTTTTTTTTTAAAGGTTTATCTGCAATTATGAATTGACGACTCCCAGTGGGTCCAAACTGGCAGGAAACAAGATGCAGCAATATTTGAGTGAAAGCAGGCAAAAGTCATTAAATGAGAACAATGATTATAACTTTAAATAAGATTTGGGTGGTTGTGGGGTTTGCATAATCCCTCCTGGCATTTGCAAGGATGAAGGGAAGCCAGCAGCTTTGCCCTCCTGCTGTGTTTAAACAAAAAATGGAAAATTGTAATGAACAGCTAGATTTTTCCTATCTTCCATTTTCTGTTTTCCTCCTCCTCCTCCCTCCCCATTTTTAAGAGAACACAGCTTTTAAAATGATTCCCTTCAATGAAGTTCTTTTGCAGCCTTTTAAGCCTGATTTTTCTTTGTTCAAATTTCTACCCACCGATTAAAGCCCTTTGAATCCGCATTATCTCAGTGAAAGGCATGCGACAGAAGTCAATGGTGAAGATGTCTAGGGATTTTGTGAGGATTCTCTGGGGATACCCACTTCCCGTACTTGCTAAAAATCTAATAATCAGTTTCGGTAGAGACCATGTATCCTGGGGTTTTGTTTTGTGTAACTGCTATTTGTTTATTTTTTTAACTGTCATTGTATTTTGGCTTCACGATGGTTAAATAAGTCTCAGTATTAAGTAAACTTCTCTGACCCTGCCTATTTCCTGTCTTGTCAAACCTTTCCCTGTAAGAATAACAGTGTTCTTTTATTTGGTAGTGTGCAGCATGATGTTTTTGGCATGCTCAACATTTTTGACTTGCAAAAACTTGTGACCTCAAGCGTGAGAGAAGTGAATGCTTGCTTTAGTACCTCATAGGGTCCCAAACTTAGAAAGGGTCCTGTTGCATACATGTTAGAGTTGCAAAAGAATTATCAGCATATTTGTTCCCCAAACATTACAAATAATAAATAGGAATAGATTTTTTGCTAAGTTACTGAAATTATTAAGCCAGAGAATACTCGAACATTTTGTTGCTACTAAACCTACATAATTCCTCACATTGACCTAGCTAAACAAAGATGTAGTGCTTTTATTTACTGTGTTCTATCTAAATAGTTCATATTTTAGGGACGCCTGGGTGGCTCAGTCGGTTAAGCGTCTGCCTTCGGCTCAGGTCATGATCCTAGAGTCCCTGGATCGAGTCCCGCATCGGGCTCCCTGCTCGGCAGGGAGTCTGCTTCTCCCTCTGACCCTCCCCACTCTCATGTGCTCTCTCTCATTCTCTCTCTCTCAAATAAATAAATAAAATCTTAAAAAAAAAAAATAGTTCATATTTTAAAAAACATTTTCAAACCAGCACGCATTACATGGCAGAGTTAGTATTGCTGTTCTAAGTAAAAGAAGAGAAGAAATGTCTGTATTGCCTAGTCTTTACAAATCCAGATCTAAATGCTTGTCCAGTGGATTCTATAATGTAGGAACCACCCAAATCAAGTATCAACCAAGGGGCATTTTTTTTTTAAGGTGGCTATTTGATAGCATTTTTCCTATCTTTTGGTTTATCTTCTATTTTTCAGTAATGTAGACATTATAAGAATAAATACCATGGTGAACATCTCTTGCTTTTAAAAGTTGGCAACTGCCAATTCTTATTTATAAATAAATATTTATCTTGAAATATTGTGAACTAATTGGAACATGAAGAAAGTAGATTGGGTTGATTTGAAGACATCATAGCATAAATTGTTATAATCACATAGCACTAATTCTGGTAATTTTTTGAACATCTCAGCTAACAAAAATTTTCTAAATATCTGAAGTAGGTGGGATTCGATAAAAAATATTATCAAGCAGTTCTCTTTTATCTTTGGTCTAGAAATACCATTCTAGTAAAGAGTCTGTGATAGGCAGTAACAAATTAATATTTGAGGACTGAAGACACATCATCATCCTGATCTGGATAACTTTTTTCTCTAAGGGTTTGAAACACAGAGCTCTAAACTCAGTTTAAGACTGTCTTAAACTTGTCATCAAACTTCCCTCTATTGTTCATTGTCATTAGGTATTTCTTCTTTTCCAGAGCTGACTCTAAAGAGATTTAAATAATATTATCAAAATTTATTGCATTCATACCACACACAGATGCTCTCCTATACCGTAGCCCAGAACACTATTTTATTGTCTTCCTTTTATAAAAATAAAAATGAAATACAGATCTTCCTCAGCTTACAATGGGGTTGCTCCTGATACATCCACCATAAGTCGGACAGGCATTCAATTCCCCTAAACTACCAAACATCCTCACTAATTAGCCTGGCCTACCTTAGGCACACTCAGAACACTTACATTAGCCTACAGTTGGGCAAAATCATTAACTCAAAGCCTATTTTATAATAAAGTGTTGACTATGTCATATAATTTATTGAATACTGTACTGAAAGTGAGCAATAGAATGGTGTATCAGCTGTTCGCTCTCCTGACCCTGTGGCTGACTGGGGGCTGCAGCCCAGGGACCCTGCCTGGCATCACCGGAGAATTGCAGACTGCACATCACTCTCTCGGGAAGAGATCAAAATTCAAAGTTTACCGAATTTGTATTGCTTTCACACCGTCGTAAAGTTGAAAAATTCCAAGCCAAACCATCGTAAGTCAGGGCCATCTGTACAATTGATTTATGACCTTTTCCACTTTTTAATATAAAGCTATAAGATGCCGTAATAAAATGAAAAGGATTTAAAAGTGAAAAACTGGCATGTTTTAAAGAAACACCCTTCAAGTAAAAAAGATGAAAGCCCAAAATAAAAGCCCTAAGTTATTGGCAGTCTTAGCTCTATTGTAGAGTCATCCTGGATATGGATTTGGAATTCAGACTGCCTGGGTTCAAACCTCAGCTCCATCAACCACTAGCTGTGGATTTGGGCAAGTTAATGACCCTCTCCAACCTGCAATGTCTTCTTATGGTAAAATGGGAGAAATAATATGGCTTATGTTCCTTTTTTAGAAGAGCCAATAAATTCTATTTGCAAAATGCTTAGCACAGGGCCTGGTCCCTGATGAGTGTTTCATAGGATCTACTATCAAAATCATTATTATAAAGCTAGATAATAATGTCCTTACAAACTTTGGCCATTTTTATATCATCCGTTGTATTTATCCAATGAGAACTTTACAAAGAATTGAGAGGTTGGGGTCAAATTTCTATGTCACTAAAGCACCTGAAATACACCTTGAATTTAGTTTGTGATTAGTTCTACCACCTGTTTAATACAAACACAAGAATCAATGAACTTGCTTGTTATAAATTCTTCATATTTGTAATAGCTATAAAAATATTTAAAAACTGCTTCAGAGCATCTATTAATCTGGAGAATACTTGGCAAAACAGTTGTTAAATATTTACCCATTTAAGAGAGAATACAATGAGATATTAGGCAATATGAAATATATTCATTTGCCACTTGTTCTCTCCTTTTTAAAAATTAGTCTAAAATACACCCAGTATTCTGCAAAGCATTGACTAGTGACGAATGCAATCCATGCTCACAGAACAGTCTTGTTCACTACTACCATGGTTGAGATTGTTTAGCAATCTTAATGCCAATGAGTTAGAAGGACATATGATTAATATAAATAATGATTCGTTAGAGCAAATTATGTACTATATGGTTCTACTGTGGCAGCAGTCCAGCCTAAAAAAGAATGCTCATCAAATACTGAGCTACAGTATTTACAACAAACATATTGACCAAAGTAATACAAACAGAATGAAAATGACAAAATTCAGACATCTTAAAATGATCACTCAATCTTTCTTGAACACATATGCACACCAGAATACTGGTTTTTTGTTTTTTTTTTCACATTTGTTGAAATTATGGAATCCTTTTTTTTTTTTTCTTTCACTGAGCGGCATTTCCCATCACCAATTGATTTGCATTTGCAAGGCCAGCGTTATAAATTCAATTTATTCCCTCCTGAGACTAGGGTTGCAATTTTAATGGACCTCCGATAGATGTAGCGGTAAAATAACGTGTCAGTGTTCACACAGGTTGTAATGAAAGGAGCCAAAGGTAGTGTAATCTTCCACTCAATTACACATTTTTATACTTTCAGTGCCTTATACTTACAGCTAAGTGGAACATTTATCAGACTTACTACTACATCAAACACTGAGAAAGATCTTACATTATGAACTTTGGTAGCTTTTTCCATCTTCAACAGTTATTCATACTCTTCCTCATACACTCCTCCTACTTCACTCCTCATGCATACTTAAACAAATAGTATCTATTTTAATCCTCCTGATGGCCATGTAAGGTGGACATTATTATCCTTTTTTGAATATAAATAACTCAATCTAGGAATGTCTGGAGAATCTAGTCCTACATGGTTTGACCTTTTGAACAAATCCTTTCAAATGTCCCGCTACTACTCTTCAGTTTCAGCTTGATATGCTATGGTTTTCCCCCAGGCTTGAGTTGATTTAGGCACTTTCTAAGGGTTTGCCTATTATTCTGAGATCACTAGATCTAGTAAAAAAATCCTAAACCCTTTATATCACCATAGCATTACCTTTTCCTACTCTTCATTCTATAGGAGAAACATGCTTTCCCTACGTACAGCTTATTATGGAACAGTCCACACTTTTCCAAATATCCTGCTCTTCTTGACGTTCTCTCTTCGGGTTTCCACAAAAATTTTAAAAATAAGAATTTGGCGGTAACAATATGTGGACTGTGTAATAATCCTAAAATAGTCAATTTCCGACTGCCAACACATTCTGAGCTTTCTTCCTTTTTAAGTATCTTTGGGGACATTAATGGTTGTTTCTCCATCTATCTCCCCCCCTCCACCTAAGCCTCAGTGTGGTTCTAGGGAGGCTGAGTTCACCTGGGTCTCCTGTGCATCCATCTCCTGGCCAATGATTGGGTCAACGGTAGGCACGTGACCTAAGCCTCTCCGATGCAAGCGCATTTGAGACTCTTGCTGGGAATTATCAGTCAAAGATGCTCACCCTTTCCCAGCAGACTTGAAAGCGGAAGCATTAGCCCCAGCGGGAAGTAGCAGCCTTCTTAAAACCAAGAGAGGTTCCAGCCTCAGGTTGGAGCTGACGCCGTGGTGTGCGAAGCGGAAAACAACGGAGAATTGGACACTTGGTGACATCATCCCTGATGCAGCCTTGTCTGGTATCTCTCTACCTCTGAGCATTTTCGAGGATTGAATACATTCCCTTTTTATGGTTTAAGCCACTTCGAGTTCAAGTTTTTGGCCACTTGCTACTCTTAGCCATCTTAACTTACACAGCACTCCCCGTGTTTTCCCACAACTGGTTGCTCTAGTAATCCTGCAGAGCTGGCAAGACCACCCCCTTCTAGGCATAGGTTGCCTTGTTTTAATGGGACCGCGCTCCCTTTGAGAGAACCTGATTTTTTTTTCTTTTTAAGCACATTTAAATTGCACAATCAGGATTTAAAATAGTGACCAAAAGTGCTTACATCTAAAAATTCTCAACCCCGGTCCAATATTATCATGCTATGAGCTGTGAAAGAGCTGATAAGCTGATAGAAGGTATTTTTCTCATGACTCTTTGTTTCTTTGAAGTAAACACCTGGGACTGACAGAGTTTGATGTCCCAGCTTTTTGGATCCCCAAAAGGATTACAGCATGATTTTACGACCTCTCACAAACCCCTCCTCTACCAATGAAAATTACTAGCTACTATAAATCTGTCTTTAAAAAAAAATTAATTGGAATCAAAATGTGCTTTGAAATGAGTTATTTAATTTTATGTTAGCTCTCTTAGAGTTTTCTGAAATGTCTTCTAATTGCTTCAACATGGTGGTGAAATACTTTATGCATGTAGCTTTAGAAGTCAATGATACAACAAGGTGTACAATGAAAATAGTCCTCTGCCTAACCTTCTCCATCTTAAGTCAAAACACTTTCAAGTGCTTATTTTCTTTGTTTTCATATTTCTAAATAATATGCATGCAGCTATTTCCTTATTTTTTTTTTCAGATGTAAGCGCTCTCTACTGTTTTTTTTTCTTTTCTTTTTTTAAAAAGATTTATTTATTCTAGAAAGAGAGAGAAAGAGCATGCACATGAGTGATCAGGGGAAGGGCAGGGGAAGAAGGGGATAAGCAGACTCCCCACTGAACAGGGAGCCCCACACAGGGCTCCATCCCAGGACCCTGAGATCATGACTTGAGCCTAAATTAAGGGTCAGACGCTTGACCATCTGAGCCACCCAGGTGCCCCTTTATTGGTTTTCTTCTACAGTTGATAATTCAGCTTTCTCAGCATACTCTTTTGTGGCACACTCCTCCCACCTTGCTGTCCTTCTTCCTATCCTCCCAATGTAATTATATAGCAATATTTTGGCTAGATTTATAGCTCAGCCACACAACATACTATGGTAGCATGTTTATGTAACTTCATTAATAATAGCCTCTTTTTTTTGTTGCTTAATTTTTTTGTGTTTATCATTAATTTCTCACCAATTCTTTGATAGAATAGTAAAACTCCCTTGAATGGAAATCAACACAAGATAGTCTATCCATTTCTTTTTCTTTTTCCTTTTCTCTAGATTCTTCTATCTTTAATGCCCCCTGTCTCTGGCCTCAATCATGGCTGACTGCTCTCCAGCCTGCTGTTCAGCTGCCATCCTGGGACTCACCATCTTCTGAGGAATTCCCTTCATCTCTGTCCTTTGGGGGATTTCTTATGCCTGTATCCCATGATTTCCTACTTTTGGCATATATCCTCATTTTGGTGAATCACAGTTTCCAGTAGTTTCTTAAAAAAATTTTTTTATAGTTAGGTGGTACAACAAACATATGGTAAAGTATATTCAACTTGTGTCCGGCCCAATTAATTTTTGTATACATATTCATATAACCACCATCGATACTGAATATCAAGGCTCCTGGGTGGTTCAGCCCATTAAGAGTCTGACTCTTGATTTCAACTCAGGTCATGATCTCAGGGTCATCAGATCGAGCCCAGTGTTGGGCTCTGCACTGAGCACGGAGTCTGCTTGAGAGTCTCTGTCTCCCTCCCCACCTGCCCCTCCCCCCACTCTGCTCTAAATAATGTAAGTAACTAATTAAATCTTTAAAAAAAAAAAAAGATACTGAATATCTCCAGCATTCTACAAAGTTTGCTCATGTCTCTTCCAAGTCAATACTCTCCACCATCACACCACCCCCAATGAGGTAATCACTATTCTGACTTCTATCACCATCAATTAGTTCTTCCTGTCCTTGAACTCTATGTAAATAAACAGAAAGTATGTACTCTTTTATATCTGACTCTCTTTTACTGTTTATTATATACTTGGGAGAGTCATCCATGTTGTTGCATGTACTAGTAGTTTGTTCTTTTGTTTGTTTTTTGCTGTGGTATGTGGTATGAAAGTAAAGTATTCGGATATTGTAAATATAGCTGCCACAAATAGTCTTGTTCTGTCTTTTTGTTGGACACATGCACTCATTGTTTGGGGGTATATAACCTAGGACTGGAATTGCTGGGCCATGGGATAGCCATTAACTTTTTGAGAAATGGTGCAGTTGGAAATATTTATGATAGGTTGTGTGTTAGGGGAGCCTAAACTACACTACAGTAACCATAAGCCTCGCATCTTTATGGTTTACTGTATTAAGTGTCTTCTTGCTCACATAAGTCTGCTGAAGGTTGGGCAGCCCTCCGAGGCAGTTATCTTTCATGTGGTAATTCAGTGATACAAAATGTTCCCATCTTATGGCTCCACTATCTCAACAGGAGACCTCTGTAGAAAGCGTAGAACTCATACATCCCCCTTCAGTGCTTTGGCCAGGAAATGACATGTCACTTCTGGGCACACCTACTTGATCAGAATACATGATCCCACCTAACTTGGAGAGGTCTGGGAAGTATAGTGTTCCATGTACCAGGAAGGAAAGGAAAAACAAATCTTGGTGAGCATAAGTAATGTTTGACACACTTCACGTATCTGTCAATACCTCTGTTCTAATGTCACACTGAAATAAATGAAAGTTTGGCCAGGTATTAAATCTTAGGTAGAAAGAACTTATTTTCCTTGGAATTTTGAAGTTATTGCTCCATTGTCTTTTAGCTTCCAGTGTTACTTTTAAGAAACCCAATGCCATTGTGGTTCTTTATGTGGGAACTGTTTTTCTCTTTAATCCTAGTATATCCTAGTATCTGGACATTTCATAATGATATGCTTGGTGTGGATATTTTACTTTCTTATTTTTCATCACTATGTTTTTGTACTACTTTCTGCAAGGCTTTCTCAACTTCCCATTCTTGTATTGATTTAAAATAAATTCTACTTTTATATTTGTAATTTTTAGATTTTTCTTGCTCACTATTTCCCTTTTATTGCATCCTCTTGTTTTATGGATGCAGTAACGGTTAATTAATAAAAGTGTTTTTGAAGTTTTCTTCTCTGGATTGCCTCTCTTTTTCTCCATGGTTTATTTTTTCCCATTTATTTGTAGTTACTTTGGGTTTTTAAATCTGTCTTTCATATTATAGAATTTCCTCATATATCTGGAGATCTTTGGCTGCCTGTTTACATTTAGGTGTCCAGGGATAAAAAGTTGATTGGAAGCCCTTTGTAGGACTCTCTGACTGCTGAGCTTTCCTGTAGAGCCATGAAGTGGGACCCAGGCATTTTGTTGGGTGACTGCCATGTCAGTATTGGTAGGTGTGTTCTTTTCGGGCTGCTCACTTTCTCCACAGAGGAACTTGCCAGTCTCCTCCATGGGAGCATAAGCTTGAACGTCAACATTCATGGAGGTAAGGGAAGGAGACTTAAGAAGCTAACTAAGTCCATGAGAGCTGGAGAAGCCTTATGCTTCAGAATAATGGATTTTACTTAATCCTATTCTGTCTAGCTCCGAGCCATCACTGAGTCCAGAACCATGCTTGTTCAGCATCTCTAGAGAGCAAACATCTTGCTTTTTACCAGAGCAGGAGAGAGATACCTAGTTGTGGGGCATAGGGAAGGGTCTATAACTTAGGCAGATTTCATCAAAATCTTTGTTTTTTGCCCCCTCTCCATTCCCTTCATCTTCCAAATATTGGGGACCACCAATTCCTGACCTCTCAGAAATTTTTAGAGCAACTTATCTAGCTTCTTCTTGGCTTCCTCTTACTAGGCTTTTAGATTTCTCTACTTTGCTCAGTTACTCCTCTTCTTTCGGCTTCCCATCTTCTAAACTGTAGTTGACAATTCCTGTCTGATTTCTCCTCTACAGCTTTTTTGTCTTTGGAGTTTTTGCCTTCATTAATTCCCTCACTGTCATTTTCAGTAGGTTGTAGAAAGAGTTTATAGAAATCCTTACTCTTAATTTTCCATGTTTATTTTGAATCATAATTATTTTGTAAGGCTAAAATATAATCATATCACTCCCCTTTCTGAAATCTGTTGCTAGAACTGTAACACCTACAGCTTTAATTCTAACCTTATGTTAGCACGCAAAATTTTTCGTGATTTGACTCGGGAACATTTCCAATCTTAACCCAAAAATGCAGTGTAGCAGGTTATTTGCTATTTTTCAAACATGCCTGTTCTTTCTTATTTTCAAAGCCATGCATAGACCATTTCCATTACTTAGAATCTACTTTTCTAACCCCCTGTGAAACATCTACTTATTCATTGCCTCCCCTATGAAGCATTCTTTGACTCCTCCAGACCAAAGTAATTTTCTTCCTGTGTGTTCACATAGCACTTAATATACCTGTATAAAATAATTTCTACTTTCCCAACTTTACAATGGAGAATTTAGATGTAGTATTTCCCAGTCCCACAATGGAGGACTGCTGTACATAATATCAGCCCTCAAAGGCTAAGACTGTGTCTTCTTCTTTGAATTTTCTAGCACTTGGAAGTGTCTTCCATATCTCAGGCATATGTGTTTCAATATATCTATGACCAATGAGTGAATAAGGAAGAGATAATACAAGACCCCTTGGGTGTTATAAAACAAAGGCACCAAAGCACAAAACCTTCACCTGGGAGTCAGCATTTTCAAGTTCTGATTTTTGCCTGACTTGGGCTTGCAGTATATAATTTAGCATAACTCACTCTGGTCTTTCTGCTCTCAAATGTGCTCCCTTGTAGAATAGGGATCTCTCCCAGAATGTCTTCGCTTTCTGGAGAAGGGCTAAGGAACTGCTTTGAGCTTCAAAGCTCTTGGGCCAGCTATAACAAAGTCACAGGCAAGTCTGTTTCAAACTCTGTAGCTGAATTGTTTCCTAATTGTGCTAGGTAAAGACTTCCTTCCACATGCAGGAAAAGCAAGGACTCCCCCATTGGTGAATGTCCCACATCTACACGCTATAAACTACCCACAACTGAGTCTGTGCTGTCCTTGCTGGGAGTTACCTCCTCTGGCAAATATCACCCAGGCTTTTTCCAAGAGGCACCCTTTTGCCTGATGCTGTTTGCTCAATACTGACCTCAGATGAGGCTACACGCAAGTCCGCACCCCACAGCTGTCTCTCTTGGTAATCATGTCTCAGGCCAGGATTTGTTTTGTAAAAGATCCAGCTGCATGGAAAGTCCCAACAATTGCAAACACTCAGTAGAGTCCTCAACATTTGTGGCTGAGACTTTCAGGTGAGAAAACTTGTGAAAGATTGACCCCTCTCACGGCATTTCACGACTGTGAGCTTTTTCCTCAAATGCCTGACTGGAGACTCTTCAGACAAACGTGTTCTTCCTTCAGAGCATTAGCTCTGTAGCCAGCCGGCCGAGGGATTTTGTTCTTTTTTGTTTGCTAGCTTTGGGCAGTTTACCTATTTTGCATTCATGTTTGTACTCCCATAAAAATAGTGCCAGTTGTGAGAATCCAACAAGATAGCGTGTGTAAAGCAAATAGCACACGGTAGGTGTCCCCTTTTGGCATTTCTCCTCGTGGAAAGAGTGTCCGAGTTCTCTCTAGTTTTTTTCTTCTTCTGTTCACTCTTTTAAAAAAATTTTTTGGTCTCTTCCTTTTCTGCTCACTGGTGGCCCTCTTTCATTCTTTCTTTTCTTCAGGATGAACACTTTTTAGTTTAAACTGTAACTTTAAAAGTTTAAATTTAGCAAAATGTATTCTATTTTGGTCAGATCTAGTTTGTGACTATTTCTTTTTCACTTAAGTTTTCTTTTTTTCTGAAAGTTTGTATTTGTCTTGGTTTGGTGGCTTTAGAGGTAATTCTGGGTGGAGTTTGGGAGGTGTTTTCTTCAGGCATTCCTGCTCATGGTTGGAAGGACAGAGAGCCAGACGAACCTGTTGGGGAGGTGGTATTCTGGAAGGGGAGTTGCTGGGAGTGGTGGTAGGGAGGTGTGAGGGTTAGGAAACACAGAAGAGTCACAGAAATTCAAAAACAAGAAATGACGCCCCACAAGAGCTCGTGGAGCTTGCAATGTTGCCAGGAACTCAAACCATTCTTTTTTAGGGGTATTCTCCTCTCCTCTTCCCTTCCCCCATATGTGTTCTGTTCTCCTCTCATTTAGCCTACGTCTTATGATGGCCATCCCAGCCCCCATCTCCATGACCTTCTTACAGCTAAGTATCTCAGTTACCCAAGCCCAAACACTTCAAGAAGGGAATCTCATTGGACCATTCTTCTTTCCTCCCCCGACCCTAGGTTACTGGCCTGCCTACGGTTGGACTGTCCTTAATCAGAGTCCAACTGCACGTTGTCAGTACAGCACCACTTGGAACCTCTGTGGCTTCCTGGATCTGTCCCAGCTGAAAGGTAAGTCTCTTAGGAAATGGGGCTAGAGCAGTGCTCTGGATTTGATAAAAATACCAATATTGGGATGCTGGTATGAAGTGAGAAATTTTTAAAAGTACAACTAATATGTCAGAAAAATATATCCTATGATATGAAGTATTCTTGGAAATTTCCTCTAGTAAGAATTTGCCCACCTAAGGGATCACTCTCCTTCCTTTGGAAATATTCCTTTATGGGAAAGCTGTTGGCTAATAATTCTGAAGTGACGTCATCTCAGACTTTAAAACCTCTCCTCTGGAAGCTCCTAAGATATGGCATCACAGGTGGTTTCCCTGGCCCCTTTAAGAGGGAGCGGCCAAGGGGCGTGTGCCAGAACTGAGCCAGCATACCTGCCCATGGAGTTTGATGGGAAACAGGCCTTCACATGTGTCCCCTGCACTCATCCCACACATTGGCACAATTATGCTTGACAAGGGAGCTCCTGAGGGCAGCAGGCCAAGGGGGCGGTGGGTCTTTCCCACTATGCTAGGGACCTGGCATTTACTCATTCATGTGACCAAGCCAAATCATTGACACAGACATTAGATATATTGTCTGAAATTCTCTTTTCTCGGATTGTGTGTCTCACGCGTCACATCCTGCCTAAAATTATCCTACGTAAAACCTCGCCTGCTTTTCCTTGTCCTCCCCTCCTTGGTCTGCCAGCGATTCTGTCCCTCTTCAGCTCTCCACCGTCCTTTCTCCTCTGCCCTAGGCTCCCATTTCTGCCTGCTCTATGATAAATCCATGTTCCCCAACTCCCCCAGTGTGACTTTAGAAGTAACCTGCAAGCATATCTGGTCTGCAGAGCCACATCGCCATCCATCATCTGAATCCTCCCGCGGGGAAGATGGGAGCGCAGCTTGTAAGGCCCAAACTGACAAGGTGGCTGCCACTGGGATGTGACACCCAATTTCTCCTTTTTCTTCAAGTGCCTAATGACAGGTCCCTCAGTTTGGATGACGCAGGTGCTGTACTCTGCTGCTTCTCCTTCCATTCCTATTTTCTCGAAGCCGGCTTTCATAAAGGGTGAATGACTAGGCACTGGTAGTTTGGTTCTCATTATGAGCATGAAAACTGGGACCTCTACCCTCATTACTTATCCCCACCCATTTTCATTTATTGAATCTGAAACATTACATTTAGCCTTCCTATCAAGTTCAGTGGCTTCCTTAAGAAATAAGAATGTAACGTACCTCTATGATCAATGATAAAGCATCGTTTGATGACATTTTAATTTTTTAAAAAAATAACTTACCCCAAAAGCACAGTATTTAAGCAAGCTAGGTGACAAATGTGAGACAGAGAAGAGAGTTATTTATTGTTTTTTAGCAACTTTTCTCCTCTTTGGCAAGAATCCTTTGAAAGGAATGGGTCCGTTTCATGCTGCTGTTGAAAAAACTCCCAAAGACCATGTTGGTGTTTTAGTCTGTTTTCTACATAAAGAATGTTTCGTGAGAGACACGCCCAAAGGGCACAAGACCAGAGCTTGGGAACCTCGATCTGTTCCAGAAACCAGAGTTCCCACATAACTACATAATGTGCTGCTATCAGGTTACAGGCCTGCCACAGTTGCCTAATGTAACATTGAGTTCGGGGCGCTGCCGTGGGGAGGTGTAATTACCGGGGGCACGGCTCAGGCTGAGTGGTTGCAGTACTCAGGAATTCACGTGCACGATCCATGGGCAGGCCAGTGCTCCACCTCAGTCTTCAACCCCAAGGATATCCAGGATTAAACTTCCCAAGGTCTTTCCCCCCTCTCCAGGGTAATATTGCATATCAGCTGCTGTCTCTATGACACAGAGGTCAAGGAAAGGGTAGCGTTTAATTGCATTGCTGGTCTTGCTTGCATGATCATGTTTTCCTGCTTCCGAAATGTCTTTATTTCAGAATCCCCAAAATGATTTCTGACAAGACCTCTGATCTTTCTTTTGCAGTGGGAGGGGAAAAAAAAGTTGATTTTTCTATAACAGGTTCGGGATGGTGATGATGATGGCTTATGATTAAATTTAGTCGTTTTCATATACAGTTTGAACCTGTGCCCATTCCTGTTCCTAACTCTACACCCAGTCCTGGATCCTGACCTGAAATGAGCCAGGCTCACTAGTAGAATTCATGGAGTTCAGGAAGTCTAGCTGGATGACAGGGTTGAATGTTGATTTCACACATTTATGAAAGCAACCGGTAGAAATAGAAGACAAGACCCAATTCTACTTCCTGTGGCTGGTGGTGTTTCCAGTTGAACTTAGCACATTGAGGCTCCCAGGAGTGAAGCCCAATCTTGATCACCGGAAACTAAAGGAACTCTGATGTACGTATGAGAAAAACCTGGGATTTCAATCCTCTACATCTATTTCTCAGTTCCTATTTGCACCACATGCATTCACTAATGTGGTCCTGCGCAGCCCTGAGTCCCCACCCTCACAGCCTTGGTGGGCCACCTCCTCTGACCCTGGATGACCACGTCCCTGTGGCTTCTAAATCCTATGTCTTAAGCCTGATCATTACCCCAGCTCCTAGCTCCCTCTGTGTCAGTGTGGGTCACAGTTTACCTCTTTTAATGGCAAATTCCTTGGCTGAAAATTATCCAGATGTCCTGAAGAAATAAATGGGCAAGAGGTTAAATAATCCCGTATAATAATGATCTTTAAAAATTTTTTTCTAAGTAGCAGAATGTTCTTCAAATTAAATCTTATGCAGATGCCCAATATCTAAAGCAGATGAATGTGGCACTGTGGAGATGTTCCATCATGCTGTCATGATCACCCTCAGGAACCTTCACGAACTCCAAGGCTCCTCAGGACATGGACTGGAAACCACTAACATACAGGATTCTAAAAGGGAAGGGAAGCCAAAATGTTTGCGGCTCATTTCAACAGCTGTTTCACTCAGTAATTATAATTTTATTTCCATGGCCTGCCTCTGAACCTAAGCTTCCTGGATCCTATTCAAAGCAAGGGATGGGGGTGACCTATAGTAACGCTCCCTGCCCATCCCCTCACTCAATTTCTTCTCCAAGTTTTCCCCCAACTTCCTGCTCTTGTAAATTCTGTGAGCCTCTTGTCAAAGGATCTAGATTCCAATTCTAGTTCTGCTCTTTCAGCTGCATGTAGGGATCATTTGCACTCCTGGGGACTTGATTTCATCCTGGTTGATAGAAATAATAATACCTACTCTTCCTGTTGTGAGGATGAAACTCAAAGCTAATTGTATGAAAGAATTGTGTGAATTATGTCTTCTATATACTTTTTAAGTTATATAGAATACATACACATACACTGCTGGAGACGAGATAGATCACCAAAGAAGTTTGGCTGGATTGTAATCACCATTCTTAAAACCTTAACAGATCTGGAGCTACACATAGGGGATACAAATTTAGGAGGAAATGACCTTTTTTTTTTTTTTCAGCATCCTCCCAGTGTTATGGACACAGAATTGACCTATAAACTATGGTCACAAATCTCAGCATGTGCTAGAGGGAAATTTAAGAAAGATGGACATCTTCTTGGGTAATGTTACAGAGCAGAGGATGGTCGCCAAACTCAGGTCTCTGGCAACACCTGGAAAACGGAATTTCTGGACAACTAGTGTAGCATGTTTGAGCAAGCACATATGTGAGGCTGCAGACAGAGCGAGGCCAGTTTCCACATCTCTCCTGGGTCAACAGAGTGAAAGTTGCGACAGAACCCTTGTCGGCCTCCATGAATTTAAACAGGAGCTCTTAGGACCCTGGAGAGAAGGCTGATGAGGACTGGCAGTGGCACAAAGGGACACCTGTTAGGACAGTAATCCAAGACTGGTCTTAACCCCACGGAGCCATATTAGCACTTCCCCATGCAGCTGCGAGGCAGCCTCCGAATCTCTTTCACCACAGCATTATAGGAAAACGCTTCCCAGAAGTAAGAAGAGATGCCTGAGCCATTTCTGATCTAGTCCAATCCCTATCGCCATCCTGGCCCCACCGTCACGCTGTGACTAAAGAAACGGAACCCGAGGGACTGGGAGAAGCCCATCCCCTGAACTGTGCTGCCTCTGGAGACTCATCAGGCTGGAAACCCATCAGCACATCTCCTTTCCAGAGTGTTCCTGTGTGGCATCTCCCCTTCCTTTTACGTCTTCCTTCAAGGCAGAGATGCCATCTGCTACGATTTGGGTACACTCCCTCTGCCCACGCTGAAGTCACGGAGCACGTCGTCAAATTACTGTGAGGTGGGACGCCTGGGTGGCTCAGTCGTTAAGCGTCTGCCTTCGGCTCAGGTCATGATCCCGGGGTCCTGGGATCGAGCCCCGCATCGGGCTCCCTGCTCGGCGGGAAGCCTGCTTCACCCTCTCCCACTCCCCCTGCTTGTGTTCCCTCCCTTGCTGTGTCTCTCTCTGTCAAATAAATAAATAAAATCTTAAAAAAAAAAAAATTGCTGTGAGGTGAAGGGAGGTCCCCAGTTCCACAGAGGGCGATGGTAAGGACAGGAAACCACAGGGCTTTCGAGGGGAAGGAAAACAGAACGACTCAACCGATGGGATTGTCAATGACACAATGGACTCCGGAGGGCTGACAAGTGACTTTTATAATATTGTATAAAGTTGGCAACAACAGCTGGCTCTACCCTGAATATTTTTGATAACTTCTTAGTTTGCTAAGCTGCTTGGTGATTTGGAGTGGTGGTTCAGCCCAGGGGCTGTGCAGCCAGATTCTGTGAGTCACTGCTCAGAGGGCCCCCGTGTGAGGCTGCTGGACGGGAGCCATGCTTTCTCCTCTCCCAGCCTCTGCCCAGATGGATTGTTGCGTCCCTTCGCTCGTCCACTCCCTGTGTCTCCACTCCTGCAGTTGCTGCCCCTTTTCCCAGGCTGCCAGTGCCCCGCCCTTTGGGTATTTCCTCCCTCCTGGCCCAGAAGAGCTTTTCTCCTCCCAGGCCCCTCTGTTCTCACTCCCTGTCTTTTCGCCATAATCTGTCTCCTTCCATGTGTTCCCGTCTTGACTTCCACCCTTCCTTATTCACACCCAGTTGTCATCTCATATCTTTCTGTAGCCACTTTGCTCTATTTATTTTTAAAGATTTTATTTATTTACTTATCTTTTTTTATTTTAGAGATAGAGTGTACGTGGGGGGGAGGAAGAGAGGGAGAGGGACAAGCAGACTCTGTGCTGAGCTCAATGCCAGGCTCCATCTCAGGACCGGGGATCATCACCTGAGCCTACACAGCCCCAAAAACCTATTGGGAAGAAAATACAACCCTAGTACCTCCTCGGTTCAGCAGTGAGCCATATTACTCTCTCAATAGTATAAATGCCATGTATTCACTTTTACCTTTTAAAATTAAATAGACAAAGCACACACGCCTGGAACTAGAGCATAAATAAATGTTAACAGCTTTGGTAATGCAAAGATGATGTCTATAGTTGTAGTTTGTTCTATGAAAAAAAGGAGATGTTGACCAAGGTTGACAGAGGATGAAATAGTGATGTAAATGTGTTATTTACAGTCACAAAGGTAACCAGGGGAAGAACTGAAAGCTGCAATATAAAAGGTCAAAAGGATAAAGAGGAGGGAAGGGGAGAGATCATTTCAAAAACTAGATGGGGGAGCACATGAGTGGCTCAGTCAGTTGAGCATCTGACTCTTGATAGAGCCCCATGTTGGGCTCTGAATCAGGCTCTGTGCTGGGCTTAAGATTCTCCCTCACCCTCTGTCCCTACTCCCTCTCTAAAAAAAAAAAAAAAAAAAATTTTTTTTTTTTTTTTTTATCCATTTGACAGAGAGAGAGACACAGCGATAGAGGGAACACAAGCAGGGGGAGTGGGAGAGGGAGAAGCAGGCTTTCCGCGGAGCAGGGAACCCGATGCGGGGCTCGATCCCAGGACCCCAGGACCATGACCCAAGCCGAAGGCAGACGCCCAAGGACCGAGCCACCCAGGTGCCCCACAAATGATTTTAAGAGTAAATTGGTATCATTTAAAGCTGATAGATGGAGAAATAGATGTCTGTTTATGGTCTAGGATTACACGTGGCAGAATCGTTGCCTCCAGGGCAAGGCATGGGGGTAGGCTGGAAAGGGTGTTGAGAGAGAACTGCTCTAAAGTTCTCTCTCTCTTTTTTTTTTTAAAGAGCTCATTCTTATTTATTTATTTATTTATTTTTAGATTTTATTTATTTATTTGACAGAGAGAGATACGGTGAGAGAGGGAACACAAGCAGGGGGAGTGGGAGAGGGAGAAGCAGGCTTCCCTTGGAGCAGGGAGCCCAATGCGGGGCTCGATCCCAGGACCCTGGGATCATGACCTGAGCCGAAGGCAGACGCTTAAAGACTGAGCCATCCAGGCGCCCCACGAGCTCATTCTTATTTTAATTCAACCTGAAATTAAAATTAAATCATGCCCACTGTATGTATTTGTGCCTATTCAGGACAGAGAGTACTCAGCAGCCACCAGGGTTTAATTTTTTCATTTACATTTGCCACATGCTACATTTTTCTTTTTTTTTGCCCCTATTTCCCTCAGAATAAAATGACTGGGGCTCCTGGGTGGCTCAGCCAGTTAAGCATCTGATTCAGGCTCACGTCATGATCCCGGGGTCCTGGGATTGAGCCCCACATCGGGCTCCCCACTCAGCAGGGAGACTGCTTCTCCTTCTCCCTCTGTCCCTCCTCCCCCCCCCCATGCTCGCTTTCTCTAATACATAAATCTTAAAAAAAGAAAAAGGAATAAAATGACTGAAGTGGTGACTTTTGGTACTAGAATGTCATTTCTTAGAAAACATGACTGTTTCCAAGCTGGGATTTTATAACTGACTAGAAAAGCTATTTATTTATGTATTTATGTATTTTTTTAAAGTTGAAGTGTACTTGACATACAATATTATATTAGTTTCAGGTGATTCAACATTTATAGACATGATGAAGTGATCACCATGATGAATCTAGCTACCATCTGTCACCATACAAAATTGTTACCTGTTATTAACTATATTCCCTATGTTGTACTTTACATCCCTGTCTTATTTGATACCTGGAAGTTCATACCTTCCCCTATCTCACCCATCCCCCAACCTCCCCTCCAATCTGGCAACCACTAGATTGTTCTCTGTGTCTATGAGTCTGTTTCTGTTTTGTTCATTTATTTTGTTTTTCTAGGTTCCACATAAAAGTGAAATCATATGGTATTTGTCTCTGTCCAACTTATTTCACTTGGCATAATACTCTGTCCATTCGTGTTGTTGCAAATGGCAAGATTTCGTTCTTTTTTTATGCCTGAGTAATATTCCAGTGTGTGTGTGTGTGTGTGTGTGTGTGTGTGTGGTGTATACAAACACACACCCCTTCTTTATCCATCTATCTATGGACACTTGGGTTGCTTCCACATCTTGGCCTTGTATATAGTGCTAGAATGAGCATAGAGGTGCATTTCATTTATCTTTTTGAATTAGTGTTTTCATTTTCTTAGGATAAATACCCAGAAGTGGAATTGCCTGGTAGTTCTATTTTTAATTTCTTGAGGAATTCCCATACTGTTTTCCGTAGCAGCTGTTCTGCTTTGCGTTGCCACCAACAGTGCACGAGGGCTCGCTTTCTTTCCGTGTCCTCACCAACACTTGTTATTTCTTGTCTTTGTCATTCTAGCCATTCTGACAGATGTGAGGTGATATCATGGTGATTTTGACTTGTATTTTCTTGATGATGAGTTATGTTGAGCACCTTTAATGTGTCTGTTGGCCATCTGGATGTCTTCTTTGGAGAAATGTCTGTTCAGGCCCCCTACTCACTTTAAACTGGATTGTTTATTTTTTTTTAATATTGGTTGTGTGAGTTCCTTGCATATTTTGGATATTAATGCCTTATTGATTTTATCATTTACAAATATCTTCTCCGATTCAGTAGGTTCCCTTTTTGTTTTGTTGTTTCCTTCGCTGTGTAAAAGTTGTTTAGTTTGATGTAAACCCCTTTGTTTATTTCTGCTTTTGTTGCCCTTGGAAAGGCGGTCTCTTCACTGGGTCCAGTGCGGCTAAAACTGGACAAGAGAGCCAGAAAGCATTGTCCCAAATGCCCACATGGCTGCATTTTCTCTTTGTGGGCGATGACACCGAGAACGTTCTGTTCTTACAGATGGCCTCGCTGAAATGTGAAAAGGAAACTGTAAACAGCAGTTTGCACCCTGTGGAGGCACATTTCTCTGTGCCATAGTACCTTGCAGCTCTGTCTGCCTAGAGAATATAGGAAGGGGTGGGGATGGCTTCCCTCTTCTCACTCCCAGGGACCAACCTGGAAGTGTATGAGGTGAGACTCTCACGCTGGCCTCAGTTCGGGTGCCCAGAAACCCTCCTGGGCTACTGAAGTTCATGAGTGAACACATTACATAACACCCCCCCATTGGGTGTGTCCAGAACCCAAGTACTGACAGCCACCTCGCCCACTGAACTGAAGCAGTGAGGTGGACTGGGCATTGGCACAGCCTTAGGAGGTTAGGGGATAGGCAGAGGATGGGCAGGCACTTTTCAAAACTCTGAAACAAGGATTTAGTCACTAGGACCCTAGTAGCTCTAAAGTGTAAACATTGCTTCCACAAGCCCCCCTAACTTCCTCTAGGGAATCGGTTCTATACGTAGTTCAGCATTTCACAAACCACAGAATGAGGTATACAGGATTAATTCCTTTGATGCCATCACAACTTCTGGGTCACCTTATGTTGATGGAGACCTGTTGGCCAAAGAACTTAGAGCACCACAGACTGCATTTTATATCAAATGACTTCAGACCTTGAAAGTTAAAGCCATTCTTAGAGGAGAGGAGAAATGAGAAACAAGATATTTAAGAGATGGATACAAAATTCTAAGAAAAATTATGCAGACACAAGTAGGAATCCAGTTTCAAAAAATTAAACAGAATTGGAGCCAAAAAGTAATATATGACCATGGGGCCTCCCAGGGGCAGGGGCAACCGGGTAGGTGGAATCCCAGTGAGATGGAGTTCCTGCCGATCTGGGAGCCACTTGGAGGAAAAGCGGCCAGGGTGAGAGCTCGGCCAGAGAGCAGGACGTGCCTGAGCAGCAAGAGGGCAGGTCTGCTTCAACTGCTCCTCCACAGCCAAACGGTGGTCTGGCCATGGCACGGGAGTCTTGCCCTTGACAACTCAATTTGCAAGTGCAATTCATGTTTCCCTAGAAAATGACACTTGAGGGTACCACAAGACACTATGCAATGAACAGCGTTCAGACTCCAGAGGAGTGTCCCTAACATTTCTGGGAAACCTCAAAGAATGTCTTGAATGGCTCCCTCTGAGTGACAAGATTTTTATCACTGACCAGATGCCAGGGCTCGTCCTCCAGCTATGTCCCATCAGCATGGGGCTTGTGAGCGCGCACACCGCCGCCAGGATCTCTGTGCCCCGTGTTAGGAGCCTTGCTAACCACCTGTGTCTTAGTCCGTTTGGCTGCTATCACCCAATACTGTAGACGTGGCGGTTAATGAACAACAAACATTTGTGTTTCACAGTTCTGGAGGCTGGGAAGTCCAAGATGAAGGCACTGGCAGATTCAGTGTTTCCTGAGGGCCTGACTCCTAGTTGGCCATCTTCTCGCTCTGTTCCCATACGGAGAAAGGGGCAAGGAAGCATTCCGAAGTCTCCTTTATAAGGGCACTAATCGCTTTCACGAGGGGGGAGCCCTCCCAAAGGCCCCACCTCCGCATACCATCGCAGTGGGGATTAAGTTTCAACATATGAATGGGAGGGGGTACAAACATTGAGTCTACAGCACCTTGAAGGTGACCACTCCCCCTCGCCATTGGGAGGCTGCACTGTCCTAAAATGGCCCCTTGACGGCACTGTGTGATGTTCTCAGCATAAGTACTTTATGCTTAGACTCCCTTTGTCTCTATATTGACTGAAGCATTTTTGCTGGACAGAGCTTGTACCTGACTCAGTCTTCTTTTAGGGTGGTCCTTTCCTGGAAGATTCATCCTGCCAGGTTACCAGGCAGGCTCAGAAATACCTGACCTCAGCAGGGAACCTGGCTTAGGTTCCAGTGAAAACTCCCTTGCTGATATTCTCACACTACTTTGTGTGTTTATCGTGGATCTGGTATGTGTCCAGAATTGTACCTGGTTTTGTGGCAGAAAATAAGAGTACAATGCTTTTGCCTTGAGAAGCTTAAAAACATGTTGGAAAAACCCGATATGCACATAATATGGTCAAGTCACGAAGCCAAGTGAAATAGGGGTAATTACTGAAATGCACATACAGAAATTAGAAAAGGTTGTGCATCTTCTTGTGTATTGAAGTGTTGGGAAACCTTGTAGAGGAAAGACTTGAGCTTGAACCTAACTAATGCTGTGTTGGTCAGGTATCTTGGCTGTAAGTGACAGAAACCCAGTTCAAATACCCTTAAAGAAGGAACTGTACATCCAGAGATCATCTATCTTCGGGCATAGCTAGATGCAGTAATCAGAATTTAGTCTTTACTTTTGTGGTTAGACAAAGATAGACTAGGGAAGGTTTTTCTTAACATGACCACGGCAGCATGTTTGTTGTATATTTTCTTTGTGGATAGGATAGTGAATAATAATAACTATGATTTATTGAGCCTTTACTAGGTGTCAGGCACATTTATTTTATAGGTGAGGAAAGCAAGCATCAGATACCCTAAGGTATTTTAGGGAGGTAATGCAACCCCTCTGACAGAGCTAGCAAGTGGCAGGGCTGATAGTGAATCTTGAGACTGTAGTCCTCTAACTTCTGAACCCATGTTTTTAATAACTGAACTCTTTTCAGCAAATGCGCCATTGTGTCTTGTCC